ATATATAAGAACCGTTATATAAAATATATTTTTTTTCAATTTATTTATAATGTTTTTTATACCTTTTATTTCTTTGAGAACTTTCTTTAATGCTTTTTCTTCTTCCGCGTACAAAAATCACCAAAATTTCAACAATAATTCAACAGAAAAAACTCAATTGCCTAGCTCACGTAATTCAATCCATCTGAAGGTGAATAGAATATACCAAAACAACGAATGAATTTAAACAAGTAGAGTTCTAATATTCACAATTCTCGTTGTAGTAAATGACACCGTTTCGCTTCGCAATGCAATTGCGTACTACAAAGCGCAAAAAACAGTGCGATGCACAAAAGCCAGTTCAAGCGCTCGTACTATAAGCTGTGTAGACTGTGTGCGTCTGTGTGTGATGTGTGGATAGATGGACATGACGACAAACCAACGACATAATATACGAATTTAAAGCAAACACACATACACCTATAGACATACCTACAATTATGTAGATATGTAAGTGAATATATATGAGAGCGCGCAATTCTATATGGTGTCATATAAGTCGAGTCCAAATACACGCCGCCGTAACACTACAACCCTCAGCACACTTCCAGAATAGGCGACCCTAAGCAGCTAGTCACCGTAAGCGTAAACCCCCAAGCACGAATCGAACTAGAGAAGTACGTAGTGGAATCAAAACAAAAGAGCGCGCACTGCTGGCGAGCGTGTAACAACGTCCGGCCAGCTCGTCAAATAGACAGCCGACAGTCGAGCCGTGAGCTTGCCCGCCAGCCAGACGCTCGATTCCCTACTTGTCGGGCTGCGAGCAGCTTGTTTTGCGGCCAACACGAGACAATAAATGGCAAGAACAACATTCAACTAACAAGAGCAACAACAGCTGTTAGCATTTGAGCACAAAGCAAATGTTAATACATATACGCATATATGTATGTATTTACACCAGCGCTGCGCGTATGTGTAAGTGTAAGCTTGCACATATGGTTTATGGCTAGGTTGCATTGTTGCTGCAGTTTTCGCCAACGAAAAAGGCAACTTGCACTTGGCCCGGAACAGCTGAGCGCGCTCTCACTCAGCGCTGAGCATGCTCGCAGCGCATTTACATACATAAATACACATATTTACATACATACATATGTATATGCCTTCCAATAAATATGCGTTCTAGCACGCTGCATGCGCTATATAGGTTGTTGCATCACGCATACATAAATATCTACAGACACATGCACATACAAACAAATGCAAATATATTATACAATATTTAAGGGGGTAAGTTGACCTTATATTCGCTACTTCCTCTGCCTACTTATTTCACAATTTCGCAAATAACCGCGAAGGCCATGTCGGAAGGAATTGCATGCTCATTGTTAATGCTTACTTTTTTGTGTTTATCGCTTTGTTCTACTAAATTTTTAAGTGAAAAACACTTCGTGGCAATAATTTCAAGGAAACTTGTAGCTAGCGGCATGTAATTACCAAAGGCGATAAAGAGTCATGCTGTTATGGTATGATATAGCAGCGGAACTTTGGTGGGAGTTGAAGCAGGTGCATCACCAAATGAAGGTCAGTGGCCTGCATACACGGATATGTGTGTTAGTTGAAATGTACAACGTTGAATAATAGTGTTTTTCACGAGGTTGAATTAGTAATTGAATTGATATCTTTAAACCTTAAAGTAGTTAGCTAGTAGTAGCAAAAAATATTTTATCCTCGAAATATTGTTAAATATAGTTTTAATATTGCGTCATTTTAGAAAAAGTCTCCAAACTCTACATACGTCAAAATGCAATAATAATAATGCTAACTGTAAGAAAAACTAAGTTTAGAAGATTTTTACACAGTTTCTTAATTTTTCCGAAAAGTCTCCACCAGTAAAAAATGTTTTAAATTAATAGAGCGAATATCTGTTATCACTAAAATACATTCAAAATAGTTTTACATTATAACAAGAGTAATTAAATTGATATTTTTAAAACTTAAAGTAGGTTGAGTAGCACAAAGTTAGAATTTTAAATTAAAAAAATTGTATCTTCAAAATATTGTTAGATATAATAGATTATATTAATATTGCGTCATTTTAGACAAAGTCTCCAAACTCTACACATCTCAAAATGCAATAATAATACTGCTACGTGTAAGAAAACCCAATTTTAAAATATTTTTACGCAGTTTCAGCATTTTTCCGAAAAGTCTCCACTAGTAAAAAAAATGTTGTAAATTAGTAATAGTTTTAAATATAACAAGTTTTAAATTATAACAAGAGCCTATATTGACCGAAAATCTTGAAACCAAGTTATCATAACGCTCAAAATTTACATATGTATATTTTGTATTAAAGATTTGTATGTGTATATGTATATATTGTTTGTATGTATATACTTTACAACCGCTATTAATTTGAAAAACTGTCACATCTATAAAAAGAAAATTTGTTATGAAATATATGCTCATCGAATACTAATTACAAAATTTGAATTTCAATTTGTATTAAATTTTGAAAGTCTACATTAGCAATTAAAAGCAGTTGTTTAATTGTATAATTGCGATGTAAATGCGAAAATTCTACATCTTATGAAACAAACTATTACTTTTGCAAGAAAGTAGCATTTCTAATTTAGAAATCATTTATTAATTCACCAAAGCTCCGGTGCATGTATCAGTTCAAATATTTCAGATGTTCTAACTTATTTCAGCGCATAAATAATTCATGTAATCTAATTATATAGCAATTATTTAATTATTTAAAGTATTACAAAAGGCATATATTAAGACCTTAATTGTTCTAATTATTATTATGAATATGTAACTAATTAAAATAGTTCTAACCACTTCAAATTGTAATACGAACGACTGTAATTCGAGGCAATTATGTATATTAAATGTAACAAACTTACTGTATAGTTTAATTCTATAAACAACCACTTTTTAGACGATTAAAGTTGAACTGAAGCTTTAGCATTAACAATTTAATATTATCGACATATTCTATTAATTTTTTTAATAATTGAAGAAAGTCTCCGAACTCGCCACTGGTTTAATTTTTCTAATTCTTTATTCATTTTAAACAAATAAAAATAAATATTTTATTCTGCACAGTTTTCAACCATTTTAAAACTCTACACTCGCCAAAACTCGAACTTGGCATCAGTAGGCATAAATTTACTTGTATTATTTACTTAAAGTTTCATTTCCTTCAATATCTCCACATAATAATCTTATTGAACATGCTTTTGAATAATTTCGAAACTCTACACTAACTGAAACTTGTTATTTTGACTTAAGACGCATGAATTTCTCATACTTATGTTGTATTTTTAATACTTTGACAGAAAGTTTCCAACCTCTCCACTAAGCTCAGATTCAATATGAAAGAAGTGAAGTATTAGACACATTTTTATTATGCTTAGTAGATGTAGTTATTGAAATTTATCATATCTGATATTCAGATACAACATTTGCAAATTTATCTGTATGTATGTATAATAGTTAAGTGTATTTAGAAGTTTCAAATAATTTACTCTGTCCACTTTTAAATAAACTAAAAGGTATACATAGCATAATGAACTCTCAAGAAGTGATGTGAAATACACATCAAGTGTATTGACAAATTAAAAACAAAATATGTAAATAAATAGCACATATCTACATATGTACATAACTTATATTCACATACCAGCATGTAGGTTTGAGTAAATAAAAAAAATTCTAAAACCGCAAAACTGACAATTATTAAATAAATAAGAAAATATTCCATTAATAAAAGATTATGAAGCAGACAAAGGCAGGAGAGAGTAAAAAAAGAGTGTGAAAGAGGCAGACATTTTTTTCATTCGCAAATGCAAATTTATGCCAACGGAAAAATAGAATAAATAATAAAGTATAATAAATATAAACGAAACAAAGATGTAAATAAACAAATGCGTTTTAAGTGAGTTTCTCCTTCTAGAGTATAGTATGTAAATAAAGCAAGAAAAGAACGCACAAGGTCGGTCATATTATGCTATGTATAATTAATATACGCATTTAAATTACTCATACGCCGTGGCGCTAATGG